CGGGGAGGGCAAAAACGGGTGGTGATTTTTTTCTTAAGGGTCTAATTTCTTAGTCAGAAATGAATTTATTAACTCATTAGCACCGGGACCGTGGGCACCCTGCAGTCGGGAAGGGTTAAAGCCTCCAGGCTGGTCCCCAGCGCCGGTGGGTCCTGGGGGGCTGTGCTGGGCCGGTGCTGGTGGCGAAGTGGTACCCGAGCTCACAGCCGGCGCTGACTCTACTGGGTCACCCCCCTCTCCCCCAAAATTCCCAGCGCCTTATCCCTTATCCAGGCTGGAGAGCTGAGCTTTTTGGGGTGGTACCAGTACCCACAGGGGTGAGAAGAGGGGTACGAGCCCGCTGGGGTTGCCCAAAACTCCTGCTCCCCTCCCTGGAACCTGCTGTGGAGGAGAAGGGAGGTTTTGGCTCCTTGGGGTGGGGGCAGAGCCCCTTGGCACGACGGGCTGGCGCTGCCTGTGCCTGGGGGGGCTGGGTGGGGAGCGGAAAGGGCAGAGCCTGGAGCAGGTACGCGAGCAAGGGGAGAGAGCAAATGACGTTTCCAAGCTAATTTCTGTGAAATTATGAGGTAGGAAGCTGTTTTCAGGAAGTTTTGTCTGGTTTGGTTTTTTTTTTATTCTTAAAAAATAAAATGAATGTCTTGGCTGGGATTTCCCTCCCCTCTGTCACCCTTGTGCCTCGGTAGTGATGGCCTCTGTCTCTTGCCCCCTCAGTCCCCTCAGGGTGGCTGTGCTGGCTCCGGGGTGACACATTTCCCACTCGGAGTTGTGGCTGCCGTGTCTAATGCCCGGGGGAGCTCTGGGAGCCCTGGAAGTGGGGAGCCTTGCCCTGGGCCTGTGGGGAGCTCGCTGGGACAGTGTGTGGAAGTGTTGGGCTGAGCCCGGCTGGTGCTGAGGGGGAAGGTCAGACACCCCCGGGCAAGAGGGAGGAGGGCAGGGGGCAGGGATCTGCTGTCTTCAGTGGGAGCGGGCAGCAGCAGCCTAGCAATGGGCCCCTTTGCTGTTTCATGCAGTGAGGAGGAGGAGGCAGCAGCCGTGTTTTTGGTGCACGCCCAGGCTTGCAGAGAGGGTGCTGAGCCTCCGCCTCGCGCCTAGGCTCCACCTGCTGTGTGGGGGGCTCACCCTGGTGCCCCCGGGGCTGGTGAGCCGTGGGGGAGACCCACGAGCAGCTGTGCTGTCTCCCACGCGCCCTCGCACGCTGGTTGGTGGGGCGGCCGTGGCTGCCCAGGCTCTTTTCCCGCCGTCGCCCTGTGCCCGTGGACGTGCCCAGCCGCACGCGGCACCTCCCGGCTCCGGCAAACCCGCTTGGCCTCGGGCCTGGCTGCTGCCAGCTCCTTCTGCTCCTCAGCCGGGTCACCCTGGCCCTGCAAATTCCCTAGGCCATGACCCCCATGAAGTTCAACAACCATGAGCACCCCTGGGAGAGCCGAAACAGCCCCAGAATCTCCCCACTGCCGAGTTTTTTATCCCCCATTCACATCTCCCAGGCTCTGTCTGAGCCTCCGCTGGGTTTTGGGGTGAGGACAGGGGTGGTGGGCTCAGCAACCTGCTTGCCATCGGAACATAGCCCCCAGCTGGGGTTCTGGGGATCTTTTTATCCCTAGTTTGGTACTTCTGGCCCCAGGATTTGCTGGGAGGGGACAGTCACAGCAGGGAGCGGGTTTTTATCTCCATGCTGGCCCTGGCAGGCTCCTCTCCTTGCCCCGCTGACAGCTTTTCCCAGCACTTTGGAAGTGCTTTGTTGTGAGCGAGGGCTCTGCCCGCTGTGCCCGGAGTTGGCCCCTGGGCTGAGGAGTCCCGGGCAGGGTGGTTGGCCCCGTGGCCCCCGGGACAGCAGTGGGAGCCCCAAAGCTGCTTTTCCTTAGGCACAACTTTTCCAGCTGCTTCCCAGCCGGGAGAGCTCCCACAGGCACTGTCACCGCCGAATCTAGCCCTGCTGCTGCTGCTGGAAGGGACCGGTGCCACCAGTGCCATCCCCACCAGGGACACTGGTCTAGCCCCGCTGGGGACAATTTGGAGCCGGGCGATGGTGCCTGCTTGGGGAAGGGCCAGCAGCAAAACACCAGAGGGTTTTTGTTTCTCTGGCTGTGCTGTGCTGAGGTCACGGGGAGCCGCTCCTGGGCCAGGCATTGGAGCCCCAAGTGGCAGTGGGGTGCGGGCAGGTCCCCAATCCTGGAGGAGCAGCCCTGGCGCTGGGGTGAGGTGCTGGCCAGATGGCTTGTCCTGTCCCGAGGGGCTGCTGCCAAGGTGCTGGGGCTTGTTTGGAGCAGCGGGGGCCCAGCTGTGGGGCTGAGGGAGGGGTTGGCAGAGGGGGAGCACGGGAGCCTCCTCAACACCTCCGGGCTGAGAACGGGCCAAGTCTGACAGTGGTGGCCGGGTGGAGGGCCCTGGGCCATCTCCTGCCCTAGGCCGGGCTTTGCTGGGGGAGTGTCACCTCTCAGCAGCCCCCAGGAAGCGCCGGGTGCAGTGTGGAGCCCGGGCTTCGGTGCTGGTGGAAGTGATGGCCCCCAAACAGGTTTGGCCCGTTTCAAACGCTCCCTCTCCTTATCTGGCTTCAAAGGGCTCCTGCTCCATCCCACGCACACAAACACTCGCCCTGGGAGCCCCCGGGGGAGCCCCCTGCACCCCAAAAACCGTGCCCCCCCCCACTCTCCTGGCTCTGCCTCCCCGCCATCTTCTCCTCTCAGCAGCCCCCAACCCTCTGTGTCACACCCCCAGGAGCTCCATGCTGGGGGACTCAAGGGGATGTGGTGGAGGGGACGTGTTGGGCCACGACCGTGGTGGTGGTGGGGACTGATGGTGACTTTCTGGAGCATCATGACAGCAGCGGAGATGTGACGCCACTGCCTCGATGGGGCAGCCAGGCCCCCCAGGCCCCCCAGCCGTGTTGAGGCTTTTTGAGGAGCTGCCACCAGCCCCAAGAAGCTCAAACTTGGCCGCGAGGCGAGCGTGGGGTTTGGAGCGCACATGCAAAAACAACGGCGAAGAGACTGGTTGGGTCAGGTCCCGGGGCGGGCCCGCGCCGCAGCCCCACGCCCGCTGCAGACGGCAGCGCCCACCCTGTGCCGGGGTGCCCGGCACCTGCGTAGCACCCAGGGGTGCACCCGCCTGCCCGGGAGGATGCTGCAGGGCAACGGCCCTCTGGGGCCACCCAACCAGGTACGTGCAAGCCCGTCCCGCACCCCTCGGTGTGGCCGTCCCTGATGCGGGTCCCTGGGGGAAGCCGGTGGCACCCACCCTGCTGCCAGTCCTCATGTACCAGGCGGCAGGGACAGGGCGGGTGCTGCCCGCTTCCAGCCAGCTTCGACCTTTGTCCCTCCTCTCCCCGTGCCTCAGTTTCCCCAGCGTGGCTGCTCCTGGCACACGTGCACTGTGGCCGGACTGCGCGGTGCTGTCTTGGCCACTCCCTGCTTGAGACGCTGATGGCAGCACCAGCTGCAGGCTCCCCCGGGGACCTGGTTTTGGGGACAGGCACCCGGGGCTGGGGGAGCACAGTGTGCGCCCAGTAGCGAGGCATCTCCCTGGGGACGCGGCTTCATCACTCCGCGGAGAATGGGATGTGGGTGCCTCCAGGCTGGGGGGTCAGTGACACCTTTAGGGACCCCCAGACTGATTCTATTTAACCTGGCCATGGCTGTATCC